AATCAACATTTGCAGAACACTCCCCACAACCAGAGCGGAACACACTTTTCCAGGCACATGCGGCATTTTCTCCAGGATGGACCATAAAATACCACAACCAGGAGAGATTTATCCTAGGAATGCAGACCGGCTTTAAGTTTAAAAATCAGAACAATTTAGCACATCATTAGACTAAAGAAGAAAAAGTATATAATAATCTCAACAAATACAGAATTAAAAAACATACTGCTATTAGCAGCACACCTCTGCCTCCAAAGTAAATAAATAAATAAATAAATAAATAAATATTCAGGTATAAATTTAAGAAAATGTATAAAGGCTCTGAAGTTCAAAGAATTTTAGTGGTGTGAAAATATGACTACAATACAATATTGAATAAAAAAGTAAGGTACAGAATAGTTCATACCATAGGGTCAACTTTCATAAAATAAACTCAAACCAAATATTTTTCTACAAGAAAAAAGGCTAAAAAAACAATAAAGTCCTTTAAAGTAAATGTCTTCTTGGTGTCTCATTCTTAACAAGACAGTCATGAAGTGTTTTTAGGGAAATAAAATTGAAATTAATATCAACAAGTTGTAAGGCTGCTTCCTTTTTGCCTTCACCCGTTACTGCATAACGCACTTTAAGAAGTCTCTTCAGATCAGTTTCACTGGAACTAGTTCCAGATGCTCTCAAAAACGTCATTGAAAATGAAGTTCTGTGGTCAAAGAAGTTTGGAAAATATTAATTTAATAAATTGGCTTCTTAATTGCAGAACTAATTAGAATCTTCAGTGGACCAGTGTCATTCTGAATCTTCAAGGGGGTGTAGTTTGCAGTTTCCCAAATTGATTTGAACGTAGAGCTTGTGGAGGGGGGAAGTGAGTGAGAGAGAAGGGGTGGGCGGGGGGAGAGAGAGACAGAGAGAGAGAGGAGAGAGTTGCTTTGGCTAAAAACTGAAAGTAGGCTGCAGACATTATTTTGCTTTTAAACACTGCAGTGTGTGTCTCCCAGTAAGGGACCCTGTGCTACGTATCCACAGCACCATCGACACATCAAAGAAAGTTAGATTATTTCCCAAATAACATCTAACATCTAGTCCAAATACAACACTCCCATTTCTCAAAAATATGTCTTTTATAAGAACCGGTTTTTCAAGGTTTCCATGTTATGTCTGCTTGTTATTTCTTTTTAATATAAAACCACATCCTGCTTTTTTTATGACATTGATTTTTTTTTTCCCAGGAGACCAGTCTCATTGAATTGTAAAAGTCCAACATCTCATCTGATTTCTCAACTTAGTCCTCTGTTCCAGGTATTTCCTGTATACTGACACTTACACGGGAAGACTTCATTAGAGTCGGGCTAAACATTTTTAGTAAGAATATGTCACAGACGACGCTGTGTCCCTCACACGGCATCACATCAGGAGACACAGTATCAGGCCGTCCCACTAATAAGGCCGCCACATCTGACCACCGGCGGCAGGTGGTGACTGACTTGCCAAATCTCTCTATTTTGCTTTCCTGTGAGCATGTCTTCTGTGAGGTGACACTTCATCGCCGTGTGAGTAACCACCACTTCTCAACAATCTTCTGACTGATGGTTTCTATAGCGTTCGATGATCTTTGCAAGACTACCAGTTATTTCATTGGGTTTCTTGTTGATTTTTATTTACTTCTTTTAAAATCCCATTATAGGAACATTTACTCTCTGCAGGATACAGTTAGGTGAGTTTTGAAAAAGCAGAGAGTTGTGCACCCATCACAGCAACCGAAATAGAGGATAGTTTCATCACGCCAAAAAGGTCCCTCCTATTGTCCCGTTGTGGTCCTAAACACAGGTTTGTACAAAGCCCACGCTTAGTAGTTCTGCCCTGACTTACCTTTTTATCACGTGTGGCAGATGGAGATGAATGTTTTTATTAACGATAACATTCATGCTGCATTTCTAAGACGTACATCCGAGAGAGAACACGGTATTGACATGCAATGAATGGATAGTCCAAGATGATAAATTCAGACCACAGCTCCATTTAGACTATGGCTTGTTCCAAGTTAAATTGAATATCCAATATCTCTTACCTCCCACGATATTTCATGTCTCCCCTAGGAGTAATTAAGTGCCTGTGTGCACCGGACTAACCTTGAGAATTTGTTAAAAGGCAGTCTCTGGGGCCTTGCCCCCAGCCTTTAGGATTCCAAGGCGAAGGCATGCTTCTAGTGACTGTGAAGCTAGTCGTCTGCATGTGATCTAGTGATTACAAGAATGGCCCCAATTCTCCACCCCTCCTTCTGTCAATTCGCTTTGCAGTGGGACTCTGCAGCTCCTCCCATGAAGAGGTGGAGTCTATTTCCCTACCCCACGAATCTCGTCTGGTCTTCCAACTTGCTTCCACAACAAAGTGCAGTGAAACTGACAATGCGCCAGCATAAGCCTTACTTGTTCCCACATTCTCTCTCGGAACCCTCGTGCTGAGGCCTTGTGAGTGAGCCTGGGCCAGCCCGCTGGGTGGTAAGTCAAGTAGGCCATTGCTTCAGACAACAGTCAATCAGGAATATAAAGGAGGTCATCTCAGAGCAGCCAGCCCCAGGTGACCACTGCAGGCACCTTAGCACACCAGCTGCGATCACGTAAGCCTGGCCCAGCAGACCCAGCCACGCAAGAGCAAGAAGAAATGTTTGTTCTGCTAAGCCACGTGTGTCGGCGTGATGTTGCGCAGTACGAGACAACTGATGCACCACAGTTCCGACACTCACCATCTGAGAAGTCCTGATTTATCTCCTCCTTTCCGTTTCCGTGGCTACCTTCGTAACTGAGGCTTTCATTTCTTGCTCAGACTATGCAGCAATCCTCTGATCTGTCTTCCCTCTTGCTGTGACTCCCTGTCTCCATGTGCGCCGCTGCTGCTAGGACTAGTCCCTCAAGGAAGACACCAGGTGGTGGTAATTTATGCATTCCCATCATCTGGTGTGAGGCCGGGTACCCACCAACAGGTGCTCAGTCCTCGTTTGTGGAATGACAGCTGCCAGATTCCTAAAACACACCTCTGACCACATCACTGCCCTGTGCAGAACTCCTATCGGCATGTACACCACACACCAGATCCGTTTTCCCTGGGGGCCTATTTAATTCTACCACCTCCGTGATCAGGCCCCAGCCTAGCTTCCCACTCTTCTTACCTTCTTCTGTTAATGCTCCTTTCAAAAGTGTAGGCAGGCTGACCACACGCCCTGCTTCTGCGTCCGATTCCCGCCCGGAAGGCCCTTACACATCTCTGCAAACTCTACATATTCGTGAAGGTTCAACTCGAATGCCCCCTCATCTGTGAAACTCTGAGAGCTCTAGTTCTCTCCCTCACTGCCTCTGTTCACCGGAGCCTCTCTTAGGCACCTGACATTAAGATCACTTTCGCGTTGTGGCATCTAGCAGGCATGTCCCCTACTAGAGACTGTAAATTTTAGAGGGGAAGATTCCGTTGTTTTTTACCTTCCCGTATTCCCTAACACAGTACATGAAACATAAGACCTTAATAAATGCTTACTGAATGAAGAGGTGATTTTTAGTCGCTATTAAACAATAAAAACAGTGGTACCCAAACTCATAAACCAAACCCAGAACAAAGATGGCCAAATAAACATAGCGGCTTTCATATAACAGTTTGTAAAAGAACTTTCTGGAAAGTCGGTTGAACACAAATGCCTAGGCTCTGCCCTGGAGGAGGCTGGCTCGGCAGGTCTGCAGTGGAACCTTGACTCTGAATTCTCATCAGGCTGTCCACGTGATTTTGAGGAAGGTTTGTGGCGAACACTTTGATAAACAGTGACATACAGCCTGCTTTGCAGATATGAATTCCAAAGTAAATTCCTTTGTTCATGCACCTAAGAATTTTTTTTTTTAAGTTTCTTGACTTTAAAGCCAAAGCACTAAGCGCAGTAGGCCTATAAAAAGAACCACTTTAACAATACATACATAGTCTGGCACCTTATTAGCTTAGGTTGTTGGGAACGGGGCATCACACCCCCTTCTTTGTAATCACAATCTGCACACATTTTTTCCAGCTACATATCCTTTTTATAAACTACTTAAAGTTTCATTTGCTACAAATAGTTCTTTTTCAGACCATCTCACCATGTGACGTTTGCTTTAAAATAAGTGAAGGGCGCAAAATTCCTACCTGGGTCCGAGAGGCTGGCTCTCAGCGCCCTCTCCAGCTGCTCCTCTTCACTCAGTCCTGCTGTGTACATGTCGTAGTTCCTGGGTACATCATAGTACTCCGGCCCGCCGTACGGGAAGTAACCCTGATATCCAGAATAGCCTACAGGCACAATGAGAAAGTTATGGAACACTGCCATGGAAGGTCCTTCTCATACTTCTTAAGCTGTAAGCAAAGACAAGAAAATAATTTATGCCTTCACTTTGATTATAGTAATAATCTTCAAAATAAGAAAAGATGACCAAGGGAGAATGCCTTCATGAGGGTGGGCAACAATGCTCTTGTCACTGTCAATGTCCATGCGCCCAACATGGGACTGGATATGAATGAGTCCTTCTGTCTGAAAAGGAAGGCATGAGTGGTCCTGGAGAGGGGGCTGGAACGGGCTACTGACAAACAGAACAAATTTTTTCAGTTCAGAGCTGTTTAGTACTTGGAGTATTTTCAGTGAAGTCCTGCCTGGAGTCAAGGGAATGGTTGAAATGATAGTTGGTGACGCCTTACTGTCTGGTGGCTCCATACAGTGAGCGGTAGACAGACCAACATTTAGTGCATTTACTGCAGGACTGCTGTGCTGGGTATGACACTTCAGACAGTAATAACTACGTTGAGATATATAAGCCAATGTGTCTCCAACTACAATTCGATGTCAGAGACCATGTTTTTACTACTAGCACTTTTGATAAACTGGTTCCTAGGTAAAATGAGAAAAGAGACAACCTGGTCAGTAACTAATGCTTTAGGTATCAAACTCAGAGACACCATTAACAAATGGCAACGCTGGCTTTTGCAAACTATTTCCATCAATCTTTTCAACTCGGATTGAGTTTATTCCTTACATTTGTCTTTAATCACCCACTTTTTTGGAATTTGTTTGGAAGAGGTTACCTCTCCCCATAGAAGATTACCAAGCTAATTCCAGTATAATGAAAGTGAAGTAATAGTCTAATGGTTTCCCTTCCCTCCTTCCATTGTCATACCCTATGAAGATGATGTTTCAAATATTTAATTAATGTGCTTTTTGCTGTTGATTAAAATTCCTACCTTTAACTATGTGTCTCCATGTCTCCATATCACCCAACATAGTATTTGCTTAAGTCTAAACTTCTTATTGCTCTAATAAGACTATAGAAAAAACACAAGCAAGCCAGAAAGAAGAACACAGTAAGGTAGAATCTGGTTAATTGAGATTTCATATTTGGAATTTCTAATAGCTGGTCTTGAGGCCATTTTAAAGTTTACTTCGGTGCTGGTTATAAATAAAATGCTTTCCTAATATACAAGATTAAAAGTGAAACAGTTTAACTATTTCTTATAAAAACTTTCAGGTACTCTAAAAGTCTTTATTTTCAAATAAGCAATGAAACAACAATAAAACACACTAATCTAGATTTGGCTGATAATCTAATGTAATTATATGTATTTATACAAATATTTGTCATGCAAAGTATTTGCGTCTATCAGTTATGTTGTTTTTATAACAGCTTTCACGAGATATAACGGATGTACTATATAATTCACCAATTTATCATGTATAACTCAACGCCTTTTAATATATCCGTAGAGTCTTGCCATCATCCGCAATCAATTTTAGAACATTTTCTCTTCCCCCTAAAAAATCTGTACCCCTCAGCTATCACCCCCAACCCTCTCAGCCCTAAATTACTACTAATCTACTTTCTGTCTCTAGACCTATGCCTATTCTGGACAATTTTATAAATCGACTCAGGTAATGTGTGGTGTTTTGTATATGGCTCATTTCATTCAGCATGTTTTCATGGTTCATTCCTGTTACAGCATGAATCAGTATTTTATTCTTTCTCATGGCCAAGTAATATTCCATTGTAGAAATATATCACATTTTATTGATTCATTCATCATTTGATAGACATTTGGGTTATTTCTACCTTTTGTCTACTTACTGTAAATAATGTTGCTATAAACATTTGCATATAAGTTTTTATTTGAACATATGATTTCATTTCTCTTGGGTACAGACCTAGGAGTAGAACTGCTGGGTCATATAGTAATTCTATATTTAACCATCTGGAACTGCCAAAATGTCTTCCAAAGCAGTTTTATAATTTTCTATTCACACAAGCAATGCATGAGTTCGTATTGCTCCACATCTTCACCAACACTTGTTAGTACCTGTCTTTTTAATTATAACCATCCTTATGGGCATGAAGTGGTATCTCACTGTTGTTTTAATGACTAATGATGGTGAGCATCTTTTCATGTGCTTATTGGCCATTTGTATATCTTCTTTGGAGAATGGTCTATTCAGAGCCTTTGTTCACTTTTACTGATTATTACAATACTCCTCTATCTATTGTGTATTCCAGTATCTTCTATGTTGGTACTATTTTATTTAATGTCCTTCAAAGTCACAAAAATGAATGATTTAGATAAACATAAAATAAAATTGTTCAGGATTTAGGGGGCTAATTCTGACAAGCCTTGCTTCTAATGTAGTAAAAATTAGTGGAGATTTACTAAATAGCTCCAATAACCCGATTTCCATATTCTCTCTCATGCTTCCCATGTCAGAATATGAACATTATGATATTTAAATTAGGATAAGGATATAAGCAAATTTCCCAAATCTTTGCAGTGATTTAGGACGGAGGTGGGATCTGGATACAATTTTTAATATGGACACTCTTCCTTAAATTGGTCTTTACTCAATTAAACAATCAGAAAAATTCGGCTCCCATTGGTTGGGGAACAGCCACTAGCAAATTCCATATTCTGAGACAAAGGGGACTGTGGCACTGCTACAAATCTTGCCTTCTATGCTTCTCACCAAAAAAGCCAAAAAACAAACAAAAACCCCAAACCTTTTATATGAGGGCAAATGGTCAAGACACAATCAATTTATCTACTTCACAAAGAACAAAAGAAAGGGGCAACTGTTTCAAAACATAATAGAATATTTATGGATAAGTCTCTGAATACCACGGGATGCTCCAGCAATCCCTGGATAGAGAGACTGCCCAATTCCCTAAGAGTGCCAATTATTTTATTGCAACACAAAAAGCACAATGGGCACTTTCCCATATGGCTCATCACCACTTTCAATCCCTGCGGAAAGTCATTTTGTTACAGAAGGTCTAAGCAGCATTTCTCTCAAACATATTCAGCTAATTCAAAACCCAAAATAACCCCAAAGCTCTGAATACCTGTCTACACGGATACCAGAAATACTACACACATCTACAGAGTTTTAGCTGACAGGTAAGTTTGCTATGATTGGAGGCACCATTTTCTTGATACAGAAAAACATCTTTCTTCTTGTTATTTCTTATTTAAAAGCCAACCTAGCAGGGCCTTAATAAAATTAAGCCTACAACTCTAAACATCTGAATATTATAAAATCTAATTTGGTACTTGTCAGACAAAACATGGGGAGAGAGGAGGGGAAAGTTTTAATGCCTTAAGTCAAAGAGACTAGTGTGGTTAAAGGTTCTGCACCATCAGGCATAAGTCTTCAACAGGACAAAAAAAACCCATCAATATTTATTATAATGAGAACAGGTCTCCTAGGACCAAAAATTGTCTACAGCTGCTCTGCTGGCCCAATCAGATATTTTTAAATCTTCATAATAAACATGGCTGGGAAAACCTAACAATCAAACACTTAAGATAAATAAGTTTAAATTATATCCTGCAATGAATACTAGTTTAATATTCTTTTGTAGTTATATACTTTGGCTCTGTAATAAAAGAAATTCTGGTTATCATTATTCTATAAACTACTCCATCTGTTCCTTATACACATACCAGGATTTCACGGCCAAAGAGATCAAGAAACACCACCAAGATTAGAAAAATTGGTAACAGCTTTTTAAACATTCATGAGGTTCTCTGACCTATAAAGACTTTTCCAGCTAAGGACGGCCATATTAAGAATAAATCATTACTTGTAAGAGATACATATGCTCTCATAAAAGTTCCCTAGATGACCATTAACATGGCCACCTGGCCTTATGTGGTTCTGCCTTTGAAGAAATCCAATCACTTCAGAGGAAGAAATATAAATATGGTAATCTTACAGGGGAAAAGAAAGAAAGGTAAAAAGGGCTTTTATTTTTGCCTTTAATTCTCTGATCTGTGTGTCTGCTGGGTTTATGCTTTTCATATGAAGGAAGAAAAAAGCGGGTTTCCCTTTTTTCTTTTAAGTCCCCCCAAAAAAAGAAAGAAAGAAAGTCAGTATGAGAAACTGTCCTATTTTGTAAAGTTAAATCAGTAGAATGTTCATCTCACATCGCTGCACAACAGAAAAAGCAGGGGCTAGCATTCAGTGGCTCGCATTTTCAGCCCTAATTCTATAACTATCTGCATGATTTTTGCCAAATTAACATTTCTAAACCTCAGTTTCTCAGCTGCCACACGAGATATTAGGACTAGTAATCACTGATCTTTCAAGCCATGTCTGAGTAGTGTGCTCTTATTATTCTCTTCATCCAGAGGAGCATCCTTGTTTCTTTTGGAGATTAAAAAAATGAACCAGGAGAGAAGCCCCTTTTCCTTTAGCAACTCTGAGGTGTTAGAAGCTGTGTCCCCTGCATACTGGAGAGAATACGGTCAGCAGGAAGAGAGACATCACAATGGGAGATGGAACCAAAATGGTCTTCCTGTCCAGTGCACCTCTTCCTAGTCGCACAGGCTGAGAAACCTCATACTTGAGTCAGTGTGAACTGGCCTCCATAACCAACAACCAAAAGGACCCAATGCTCTTTCAAACGACTATGTTTATCAGCTTCATTGACAACTAATCATCACACATCCTTTCTTCAGGTGAGTCCGCAGACAGAAGCAGCTGAGCTTGTGCTGTCCAGCAACTGTTCCTCTCTTGCACCAAGCCCACGTTTCCAGGATTCTGAGCATCCAAACCATCAGAGGTGGCAGCCTCACAGTAAAGCCTCCTCTTTGGGCAGTGACAGTATTCACCTCTGTGGTCCGTAAGCCTAGGTAACCCCAGTCATCTTAGCCTATGATTTTGTTCCTAAACCCATTAGAATCACCTGGGAAGCTTAAAAAAAAAAAAAAAAAAAAAAAAAAAAAAAGAAGTCCAAGTCCCTGTCTCTATCTTTATTCTGATTTAATTGATCTGGGTTGAATTCAAGCCATGGAGATGTTGTAAAAGCTCTTCAGGTGATTCGTATGAACAGCCAGGATTGATAAGCATAATCCAAGCCTTTAGAACTATATCAAAAACATAACTTGACTGTAACTCCAATAATATCATTCAACTGATTGAATCCTTCAGTGGCATTCCAGTACCTTCTAGATAGTCCCAGACGGGCCTTTTCATAAAAATCTGAAAAGCCCTTTCCTCTCATTACTTTCTTTAACTTCCCCTTATTCATCAAGACCCAGCACTCACTTCCCTTGGATAACCTCCAGTAACTGCAAGCCGCCTCCTCCCTCCCAAGGCCGAGCACTGAATGCACTGCATTAATACGGTTGAGTTGGACTTCTGCCTCTGCCAGGAATGAGTAACTGGGACTGGACTGGCCGTTCTACTTAATCAAGTAGAAGACTGGAGGAAACATATGAAACAAATGTTTTTAGACATTGTATAATAGGCAGTATAAGATTTTGAATCTTGAGAGAAAGGAAATAAAGGAAAGGAGCCTGGAGGCACTTTCCAGACGATGGTGCAGGGAGGGGGAACATAAGCAGACACAGCAGGCTGCCTGAGTTGAGCTGGAATTTGCAGGGCAGACTACAGAAAAGGGGAAAACTACATGTATAGGAAAACCTCCAGAAATCTTCATGGGGTCCCCTGTAGATGTTGTTGAATATTAAGCCATGGGTATGTAGGGGAAATTCCATGAGATCAGGCAAAGGATGACTGAGAGCTATAAAAAGAACAATTCCCAGAGCTCAGCCAGGGCTGGAAGACCTTTGCATTCAAACCAGCCAGAGTAGAGAGTCCTTGCTGAATAAAGGGCATTTAGGAGAGATCCCAGAAAAGTAACACCCAGTGGTAGCACAGAATTAACCCTAGGGTAAAAGCTACTTTAGACCAACCCTCAAGAAACGAAAAATAAGCCTGAGAAGGATCAAACTAATCATCAAGAAACTTAGCTGTGTGCCAGAACAAAGTCCAGTGTTCTTTAAGACTCTAGCACCCAATACTACAAAATACACAATGTCTAGCATCCAGTCAAAACTTACTAGATAAGCAAAAATTATGACCCATAACCAGGAGAAAAATCAGTCTAATGAAGCAGATGCAAAAAGACAGAATTAGCAGTCAGGGACTTTAAGGCAGCCATTATAACTGTGCCCCTGATTTAAATAAAACTATGAATTTAATGAGGAGAGAAATGGAGGATATAAAAGAGAACTAAATGGAACTTCTAGAGCTGAAAAATAGAATATCTGAGAAGAAAAATTCACTAGATGGGACTGACAGCAGAGTCAACACTGAGGAAGAAAGATCAGCAAGCCTGAACACACAGGCCACAGACACTATCCAAACTGAAGCCCACAAACACCAAAGAACATAAACAGAGCCTCAGGGACTTGTGGGACAACAGTAAATAGTCCAACATCGGTGCAACTGAAAATCAGAAGGGAGGATGTTCTTTAGTTCTTTAGTAAAACAAAAGCTGGAAGAACTGATTACCAAGAGACCTGCACTAGAGGAAACAGTTAAGAAAGTTCTTGGGGCATAAGGAGAATGATACCACATGGAAATTCGGATCTACACAAAAGAATCTTCTATTTTTGAGGATCAACTGACATCAGCCCTGGGCCTATCCCTAAGCTATGCACGCAATGAATAGACACAAAGGGGAAAAAAAGAAGCAAAGGCGTTGAAAACTGAACTACTACATAATTTACTACCCAAGTATCAGATGATCCCATGAGTGGTACACACATGGGATAGGCCCAAATAGCACAGTAAAGGATTTGAAAACTGAACTGACACTGGAACCCACAATCCACAGACAGAATGAATTTGTGTTCTAAACCTAACCAGGGAAACTGCCTACTGCAACAAACAAACAAACAAATACATATCAACATTCTGCAGAGAATTTTAAACAGAATCTAAAATCTCACCATAATAGTCAGAATGTTCAGATGTAAGACACAATTACTGGACATACAAAATCAAAACAAAATAGAAGAATCTGACCAATTCTCAGGAGAAAAGGACAATCAGCAGGTGCCAGGCACAAGACAGGACTCAGATTTTGGAATTATCAGACAGATTTTAAAGAAGAAATAGAATAACCATGCTCCGTGAGATCAAGGTGAACCCTCTTCCAATGAATAGAGAGACAGAGTTTTCGGCAGAGACACAGAAAGAAACAATAAAAAAAGAACCAAATGGAAATTTTAGAACTAAAAAATACAGTATTAAAAAAAAGTCACTGGATAGGTTCATCAGGTTCAATAGCAAAATGGAGGAAGGAGTTGGTGACCTTGAAGACAGATCAATAGAAATTATTCAATGTGAAGAATACAGAGGGGAAAAGATTGAAAAAAATAGAGCCTAAAGGGCTTGAGGGACACTATCAAAATGTCTAAAATGCATGTCATTAAAGTCCCAGAGGAGAGGAGAAGCAAACTGATGGAGAAAAAAAAGCTTATAGAAATAATACCTGAAACTCTTCCAAATTTAGTGAAAGACAAAACACCTGAGGCAGAATGTTGACAGAATTAAAGGGAGATACAGATAATTACATAATTATGGCTGGAGATCTAACCCCTTTCTCTCAGCATTGATGGAAAAATTAGATACAAAAGCAGGTAAAGACACAGAGGATATGAACAAGATGGTGAAACACCTTGACCTAACTGGTATGTGTAGAGTACCACATTCAACAATGGCAGAACACACATCCTTTTCAGAGGCGCATGGTACGTTCACCAGGGCAGATCACACACTGGGCCAAAAGAAGGTCTTGTTAAATTGAAAGGATCACTACACTGTGTTCCCTAACAACAAGAGAATTAAATTAGGAATCAGTTAACAAAATGATGTCTAGAAAATCTGTGGTATATTGAAACAATAAAATGCTATTCAGCAATAAAAAAGACTAAACTGCTGACACATACGATAATATATGGATCATAAAGAATGAAGTTAAAGGACAGAAGCCAGATACAAAAGAACACTTAGTAAATGAGTATATTTATATGAAGTTCAAGCTCAGGCAAATTAACCTATGGTGACAAATGAAATCAGAAGAGTGGGTGGGGGCGTTTACGAGAAGAAGATACTTCAGTAAAAACTCAAGGAATGTCATTATTAGCTCTCACTGCATTATTCTGTATCACCCCACTCACAGTTCACCAGTCACCTTTCCATACCTTAATTAGTCCTGTTAGTTTCCATTGTTTCACCTTTTCAAACGAATAGCACCTCCATTCTCACTCCTGGTTATAAACTGTGAGGCAGGGACTACAGCTCCTTCTTTCTCTCCCACAGTGGCTGGCCTGGCCCTTGTACAACGTGACCACTCACAGCGTGCTACTAGCCAACCCAGTGAGGAACATAAAGCACAAGTGCCGTATATATATACATGAAATTCTTTGTACTTATATTTTTAAGCCACGGGTCAAAAAGCCACAGCTTGTGGTCCAAATACAAACCACTGCCTATTTCTGTAAATAAGGTTTTACTGGAACACAGTTAAACACATTGCGTATGAATTATTTATGGTTCTTTCATGCTATGGCAACGGGTTGACTAGTTGCAGCAGAGAAAACACATGGCCGACAAAGCTGTTGGAGTCTAAAACAGTAGCTCTCTGGCCCTTTACAGGAAAGGGTGCTGACCCCAGATTTAAGTGAAAGCAGTTCTCAGTGGGCACGGCTACAGCAGACACCTGATGTGTCCAGAGCCATGGCTGCTTTAAATCCTGTCTGCCGGTGCTGATCCAGGGTATTATGGTACAGCCTCTCCAGGCTTGAATGTAAGGGCCTTAGCCTAAAAACATGTCATATGCCTCAGTAGGAAGTCCTTTCTACCTATTTATATAGACATCTAGAATAAACACATTCTCCTCTGTAAGTCACATGGTATTAACTTTTAGAGGAATGCCTATCTTAGCCCCCTAGATAAGCATAGTTCTTCCTGAATATGCAGGTGAGGAGGAGAACTGTGTATCTGAAACTAAATTCCAACACACTTAACTAGCAATATGGTCTCAGGCTGAAAATCAAGGGACCTGAGTCCAGTATGAATCTTACTGTATCTGAGACTTCAAACCAATCAGACAGTATTTTCACATCAGTTATCTCCTTCCCTGGAGTTCTCTAACAATGCACCCAAATATGCAACTGCCCCTCCACCTAGTTTTGAGTCATTTTAGAGGCACAAGTACATAACGTGGGAAGCACTCTACAACAGCTCAAACTCGTATTAATGTAACTCAATAGCAGCAAACACTGTAATTTCAAAAAATAAGTTTAAGTGTATTAAATGAAATAAAGTACTTACCTGTGTTATTAAAGTAGTATTGCTGTCTCGGGTAACCAGTGTTGGAGGGAAAAATGCCTAAAGATGAAGGAAACAGACATTTTCATTGTAGCCATAAGCTTTCCCCCCAGCTTTATCGAGGTATGATTGACAAATTATTATGGTACATGTTTAGGGTGTACAATGTGAATTTTTAAAAGGTATACAATGTGATGATTTAATACGCATATACATTAGGAAATGATTACCACAATCAAGTTAATTAACACATTTATCACCTCATGTATTTACCATTGTGTATGTATGTATATGAGAGCACTTAAGATCTATTCTCTTTATAAATTTCAAATATATAATACAGTGTTATTAACTGTAGTCACCATGCTGTATATTATATTCCTAGAACTTAATCATCATATAACCGGAAGTCTGTACCCTTTGACCAACATCTCCTCGTTTCCCCCACTTGCCAGCCCCTGGAAACCACCATTCTACTCTCTGGTTCTGTGAGTTTAACTTTTTTAGATTTCACATGTAAGTGAGATCATACAGTATTTGTCTTCCTCTGGCTTATTTCACTTAGCGTAATGTCATCCTGGTTTATCCATTTTGTCAAAAAAGACAGGATTTCTTTCTTTTTTATGGCTCAGTAATATTCCATTCTACATATATACATACCACATTTTCTTTATCTATTCATCTATGGACAGACATTTGGGTCGTTTCCTTATCTTGGCTATTGTGAATAATGCTGTAACAAACATGGGAGTACAGATATCTCTTTGAGATACTGATTTCATTTCCTTTGGCTTTATACTCATAAATGAGATTGCTGGACCACATGGTATTTCTATTTTAAATTTTTTGAGGAATCTCCACGCTGTTTTCCACAGTGGCTGCACCAATTTATATTCCCACCAACAGTGTACAAGGGTTCCCTTTGCTCAACATCCTCACCAACACTTGATATCTCTTGTCTTTTTGATAACTGCCATCTTAACACTTCCTGATTTCAATTTATGTTATAAAGCTACGATAAACAAAACAGTACAGTACTGGCATAAAACTAGATACATCATCCAATGGAACAGAATAGCCATAAGGCTGTAACTACCTTTTCAACAATTAAGAGATTCTCTGTAATAAAGGTCTAAGTCATTTATTTTTATTTTTATTTTTTAGTTCTTATTTTTTATTGAAGTGTAGTCAATTTACAACATTAGTTTCAAGGGTACAACAGGGCGATTCAGTTGCACATATACATACACACACACACACATATACAGTTTCCTTTCCATTGTGGCTTATTATAAGAAACTGAATATAGTTCCCTGTGCTATACAGTAGGTCCTTGTTGTTTATCTATTTTATATATAATAATGTGTATCTGTTAATCCCAAACTCCTAATCTATCCTTCCTCTCCTCTTTTCCCCCTGGTAACCATAGTTTGTTTTCTACGTCAATGAGTCTATTTCTGGTTTGTAAATACAATTTATTTTTTTTTACATTCCACACATAAGCAATATCATATGATATTTGTCTTTCTCTGTCTGACTTACTTCACTTAATATAATAATCTCTAGGTCCATCCATGTTGCTGCAAATTGCACTGTTTCACTCTTTTTTATGGCTGAGTAATATTTCATTACTTACACACACACACACACACACACACACACACACACACACACACACA